CCTCTTCATGTGCTAATTCTTTATGCAGGATTGTTCTACTGCCAAACTGCTTGCAGTGGGGTACCATGTTTTGCTACTGTTCCCATGCAACTTCCAGTTATTGTGTATAACTGCACTGTGAATAACTGTACAAAGGCATACTGCTTCAGAACCCCAGATCCCATGCTCCTGAATCCTTGATGAGTTTTTGAGCCCTAGGGATCCTGTGCAGAGCAAGGTGACTTAAATAACTACCTGAATCCATTTAGGTTTAAGATTTCATGTCTTTGAGTGACTTACTTCACTGTGCTATGACTGAAAGATCGGTATTGAAGGAAATACTTTGTTGTACAAGCATGCTGATTTCCTTTCTTTTTTCTTTTGGGCTCCTTACAACACACAGCATAAAGGTGTTGAGGAGAAAATTAAATCAAAGTCTTTTAAATCAACTTAGGACTATCTTTTTTCTCAGACCACACTTAATTGCCATTAATATCACTACAGATTTGCTGTTTTTAAAAGAAAAAAAAAAGGGGGGGAGAAAGAGAAAAAGGAAAGAAGAAAAAAAAGTATGTGTTTCTAGGAACTTAAAAGAAAAGAGACTGCAGAAAGGAACTAGTGCTGTAGATGGCTTTGACAGATTAAAAGGATATATTGAATTGAATTTTTTAGCTTTCTTGTTTTTACTTTCTTGTTTTTAGAGGGGAGGGGGCCCACTGTGTGTGGAGCTGACTGGAAGCTACGTCTACAGAATATACAGAAGGAAAACACAAGTCTATTTTGCCAGTAGTCTTTGATCCAAAAGTAAAATGACCAGACTAGGACAGCTAATGCACTACTTTGTACAACTGCCAAGAAGCATTAATTGTCTTTGTTAACAGCCATAATCACTAAGAGTTTTATTCCAAAACCAGTAACCTCGTCCAATCCTGTTTGAGAAACACTGTACATACAGAAACAACAGGAATATGTGTAAATGTCTTTGTGTATATATCTGTGTGTGTGTGCGTGTACACAGATGTCTGTGTATTTATAAATTTTTTGTGTAACAGTGTCATGCAAGTGACAGTGTTGATCATGGAAGCCCATAACCAAGGGCATGAGTAAGGGATGAGTAAGGGCAGCAATGTTGTTCTTGTTAGAACAACCAGTGTGAGTGTGGGAAAAGAGGTCTAAGTGGGTGTTTAGGTCAGACTGAATAACTGGTTGTGTCTGAATGCTAAATTGTTCTGTCCACTAATGCTACCACACTGTGTTACATGAAAGATGCTCGCTGTCACTTTAATTTCATTATTTTCACATGCCACGACTGGCTTTTTAATGTTAAGCATTCCTAGGCATCTGTACTATTTTGATTATGCAAACCAAACAACAGGATATATAAGCTAGGTTGTAAACAAAATTTGTTTTTCTCTGTCTTACCACAATTTTTTTCTTGCTGTATGTCATAACATTGTGCTGATTCTCACACACGCACACACACCTTCCCTTTGGTGGTGTTGTGCCCTACATTAAAGAGCAGCTGTAGGAACCGTTGCGAAATACATATATTAGATACAATTCACTCTGTTTAGATTATTCCTTAACTGTGCCTGTTACTGTGCATGGAGCTGTCAAATGTAATGAGATTGTATTGTGTTTAGTCCCTTTAATTGAGACCTCTTGGAACCGATTGGTTTGCTCCAACATTTACATGAGTTGCAACTGTGTAAGTACAAACTAATGTGATTGTGTCTGGGCTGAAATACACAAGAGGCAAGAAATGTCATAGTAACATTTTTATGTTATCAGTTGATGAGATAAATGTCATTAAAGATCAATCTTGGTGGACTACTTTTTAGTGTTTGCTTTAGGAAAAGCACACACTTGACATGGGAGACTTGGGACTAAATAGTAACTTGGACGAGGAGGACTCGTCAGCAAGAATGCAAAGAATTACTCTAATAAGGCCATTCCACAGAAATTCTGAAGCCATAGATACTTGAAGATCAAAAAAAAGTCATATCCTCTGAACTGAAACTGAAATACATGAGCTTTCCTTTTCATCTAAAAGCGATTGTTTCATCAGTGGTGTATTGGTGCTAGTTCCATTAAACTTTGCCATAATCAGCCTTTTGGGAAATCGCAGTCTCCAAACTTGCATATATAAAGGAAATTGGTGAAGTCTATAGTTGCAATTGGGAAGTCAGCTAATTTGCTGCTGTCACAACAGCCTGGTTGCTAAGCGAATGGTTTATAGTGATTTATGGGTTGGAGAAGAAAAGCTGGCTTGATTAGGAGGGCTACAAAATAGTCATTCTGTTTTCAAAACCTCACATCTGAAACAGTGATAGATGGGCATTATTGTTAAAACTATATGGTAAAGCTGTTTTCCATGGTAACAGATCATCTATATTAAATCCTGTGAAACTGAACTGAGTATAATGCAGCAGTTGTTTTAGAGACTGGGAATACTTACGTGACAGTTACCTAGACAATCTGGTACTTGCAAAGTTTGAAAAATCTTTGTGTTGGGTTGACTCTGGCTAGTAACTAAACACCCATTAGCTGCTCACTCTCTTGTCTTAACGCCCTCCAGTGTGAAGGAGAGAATCAGAAGAGGAAAAGTAAGGAAAACTCATGGGTTGAGAAAAACACAGTTTCAAAAGTAAAGCAAAGAGAAGAAGGAAAAAAAAATCTGCAAAGGAACTAAAAATGAAGTACATAAAATCACTCACTATCCAGCAAACTGATGCCCAGTTTCCAAGTCACAGGTACTTTGGAAAGACCAAATAAGTCTTCTAATGCTGGACATGACATTATGGAATAATGGAATATCCATTTGGTCAGTTCTGGTTAGCTGTCCCAGCTGTGTCAGCTGCAAACCTCTTGCTCATCCCCAGTCTTCTTGCCTGGGGGGCAGAGTGAGAAGTAGAGCAGGCCTTGATGCTGTGCAAGTACTGCTCTGCTGTAGTTAAACCACTGGTTTGACATCGATGCTGATTTGTTTGCAGAGCTTGAACACATCACCTGCAGAGGCTTCAATGAAGCAACCTAGCCAGAGCCCGTACAATTCTCTGTTGTATCTAACAGAATAAAAAATACATTAAAATATTTTTTGAAAAGCACAACAAGTCAGTGTAATTTTGGATATTGAAAAGAATTTGGCATTCGAGTATGGAAAGAATCATGTCCAAATGTCTTGCTTGGCAAAAGAAGAAATAGCTTTTGCTTCCTGAGAATATCAATCTCATTCTAGTCCTCTGTGGATGAACAATACAGATGCTATATTTCTGTATAATAATCATGGAATTGGCGAATAGTATAAAATGTCTATTGTCTGGCGTAACAGATTTGACTTGTTTTCTTGTTTCTGAGTGGACTAAAGCTGTTCAAATATACTGCTTTGTCTTGAATTGTCTGAAAGTTAACATGTAAGTGATCTATGGAAGAAGAGTATTTAATGCATTTAATGTATTTAATATAATGTATTTAGTACAGTCAGAGATTGTGGCACAGACTTTTGTAGAGAAGCACAGACAAATTATATACAAAGGGGAAGTATATTCTAAATATGTATTTTAAATTGGTGGCATGCCTGCATGTAATATGCTTGATTTGTACAATTGAAGTATGTAAGAACATGCAATAAAATATGACACAAATTACATGCTAGACATGGTATCCTATGAGTTCTTTTGAAATCACTTTTTTGTTCATGGTAGTTTTAAACATGCATGCCTGGTGTTGGCACTGTGGCAAAAGTTTATGTAGGCCCAGATCTGTGTGGATGTGGAGATTGCAAGTGTCTATTGTGATGTCGAACATTTAGTATTAACGAGGTGCTACTGGAAGGGGCTGCAGAGCTGATGAGGTTGCAAACTAGCATTGTCTTCTCATCAGGATTTAGCTCAGACACAGTTGCATGACTAAACAGCTGTTTCACAAATTCACACTGTGGTTGGGAGTAGCCGCTGCTTCTCTGCACTTGACCATATGGGCAAACACTGAATCATCTTGAACTTGTTAGATTACCTTCTCAGTATTCTCACTTGTTTCATGTAACAAATAGGAGATTCCACAGAATGTCTTGCCAATGCTCATCATGGTTCAGATGAAAAGAAAGAAGCAATGAATTAAACACTAAGGCATCACCTTTATATGTAATTTCATTGCAGAAATTTTAGTAGAAGTGTCTTGTTAAGTTTTTCTAGTAAGGAGAACATAAAGTGCCGTGAGATGCAGCACTGAAATATGCCACTATGCTTTACTGTTAACACTTCTATGTGTGTACATCAACCATGAGAATTACATTGCAAAATAGGAGTTGGTGTTTGGAAAGTATTTTTTGTTCAGTTATTTTTTGCCGATTGTCAGTCTTTATGTTAGTCTATAATACGTGGTTGACCACAAAGTCATAACCTTCATCTGATACTAGTTTAAATAATTTGAAATTTACAGTTTCAATAATTACACATATCTGTTTCAACTCTTGGAAATTTGTACTGCAGCTTACAACATAAACTCAGATGTAGTGTGAGTAAATGTTTAAGATCAACAAGCCTTTTTGCAAATAACACACATCCGAAAATTTTAGATTACTATCATATCTATAACAAAGAGAATGTGAGGTGAATGCTTAGCTGCTTGGATCTGCTAAATGTCTGAAATTAATTGTAAATGAACACAGGTGTGTGTCTTGCTTCTCTGAATAATGAAAAGTTATCCCCAGGAGTTGTCATGTCATAGCTATGTTTCATCCACTAACAACATAGTGGTATGTTACCAGTGGTACGTGGTAAGTCTTGTTGATGACTAACATTCCTGTTAAGGTGCTGCTTATGTAGCATGATTAGGTTCCCACTTGAACTTCATAGAAAGTATAGTAATACTTAACATATATTTATATATGATTATTTAAACAGATTTGTGCTAGATATTGAAGACGTGTTTTAAAAAATCCTTCTATTGCCTCCAGTTTGCTATTTAGAGTCTGATTTTAGAGCAAATTACTAATCTTTTTAATTGCTTTTGCCTCATAGGTTAATCTCCGAGCCACTGATGTCAAGCTTATGCGCCAGCTACTTATCATCAATGAAAGTATTGAATCAATCAAATGGATGATTGAAGAGAAGTCCATTGCTAGCAGAGGTAGCAGTCTGAGTGGCAGCCTGTGCAGCTTATTGGAAAGTCAGGACACATCTCTCCATGGCAGCTGTAACAGTTTACAAGACTGTAGCGATGGACTGGATGGAATATCAGTGGGGAGTTATTTGGACACTTTAGTTGATGATGTCCCTGGTCGCCAAACCCCTTCAGATATGGACCAGTTCAGTGATTCTTCTATTATGGAGGACTCACAGCCTCTGCATAAACATCCCAAAATTGATTCTGATGAGTACTACTGTTTTGGTTAATAAAAGAAAGTTCCAATGGGACATATATGCACTTGTATTTATCCTTTTTCTTTGCTGCTGTTTTATTTCATGTGCAAAACCCCAAATTTCTGTTGGAAGTAAATCATACTATGATATTTTGATTCCACTTCAGAACTTTTCTATTGCTTCTAACACATTTCCTTCTTGGTGGGTTATCTGCTTCTGTCTTGCTCAACTTTTCTTTCTCTTAATTTATTATTGCTTTTTTTTTTTTTTTTTTTTTTTTAGTGCTGTATTTACAGATCTTTCAAAGTGGTGAAGGAAAAGCTTTATCTTTAAAATGAGACATCAGGGAATGAGAGCATCAATTTTGTACTTGTTGGCAATAAAGTATCTTCTGATAAATTTATGTTGTGATAAATTTTCTTGACTATTGTGTTTGGTTTTTCCAAAGATGGCGTTCTTACTGAGCCTTAAATCTGAATGTTGAAAATACCTCTACAAAATAATTTTATTTTATAAACAATGATATTTGATCTAGTTAATCTGCCTTCACTTGGAGTTCGAAGTATCCTAAACAATTTGAGGGGAGGGGGATTGAGAGGGGAGTCCTTTCGTCATGAATTTTCTCATGATTCTTGTCTAGTTACAATTTTAAGTTCCTGGCTTCATTAATGTCTTGAAGTGCACTCCAATACTGGAAGCTCTGCATGAGAGAATATTTCATTTTTGTGCTTTGCACCTTTTATTTTTATTGAACCTGCTGTTTTGGTGACATATTGTATACACGTAAAAAAGAGTGAAGGAGGCACCCCATGTTCAGAATACCTAATTCTGAAAGTTTGGATACTGAGCCAACAATACTCAACAGAATTATTTTTAAAATAGTATTTTTTTAATTACGTAATTTTTAAAATGACTTTTTTTTAACCTTGAAATTTTGAGGGATCTAGTAAAACATTTTACAGGATACAACCTGCTAAAAGGCAAGTCCTGCTCAGGTTTTGCATGCACACTCCAACCCCTAGCAGGTTTACTTTGTTTTTACACTCTTATTAGTAAGAAGAAGTGTTTCCCACTGCTTTTTTGTTTCCTGTTTTACAAATAAGAGTTTATTCTAACCTTTTTTGCCTATTAGTATGCTTGAGAGCTTTTACATTGAAAAGGTCTGAGAAGAGAAACAGGAACAAACTTCTGTGTACAAAGTCTCTAGCTTTGAGATTCCCCTGGCACATGCTTTTGTGTAGATTAGAGAGCAAATTTTCATTTTAATTGGTTTAGAATCGAAAGATTACGTCCACATACAGTACAGGAAAAAAAAAAAAAAAGAATATATAATTAACTGGTCTGTCAAGAACAGATCAATGAATTTGTATTTCCAGCTTATGTACAGTGGAATAGGTGCCGATACTTACACATTAGCTGGAAGAGTCTTTTTATGTCTGTCTGTATTCCTATTGCCATAAAGCATGAAAATTATGGTATAAACTAATGTTTGCAAGGTATAATACAGGCTGCCTATTTAAAATATGTTTCACGCATACTGCAGCAGTAAAGTCAATACATGTCTCAGTCAAAGTTTGTTGTCTGTGTTGATTTTGAGAAACTGTAGTTGTCCAGAAAGGTTCTGCTCTTCCAAACCATGATTCCATTGATGTGTTTTGTCCAGGTTTTATCAACAGCAAATATGGAGAAAAGGTAAAAGGTCTAGAAATTGGAAGTGATGATCTGTGCTTTGGGGGTACCTCTATTTTTTCTTGATACAATAGGTGTTTGTGTGCATCAAAATTAAAAAGCAAAATATGTATTTTTTACTTCAGACGTTATGATTTGTTCAAATAGAGTGAAGAAATTTGTGGTTACCAAGAATGAGGCTTCTCAAAAAGAGAGAAGCAACTGATCAAGCAGGGTTTTGCAGGTACCTCAGAAGTAAACTTCTGAGATCAACCAGGGTATTGCAGATATCCCGAGGAAAAACAGAAAAACAGATAAGCCCTGAAATGACAATGCTATGTGGGCTTAATTTTTGAAATGTGGGGTTTATACATTTGTTTTTTATTCATTCCCCAGATTATTGGACATTGGACATTGTTTGGAAAAACAAAAAAGTCTGAAGAAAAATCTTGGAAAATTTATTTCTCAGTGTGTTATAAAGTGGAATATCATCTGTAAATGCAAAATGGGTTTTATTACTTCAAGTTATATAAATCTAAGAACACCATAGTTTAAAGCTGTGAGCCTTTTGAGAAAGTTTTTTTACCTTCTTTGTTTGGCATGGAAGTTAAACATCAGGTTGTATACTCCCTCTGAACGTAATGAATGTGCAATATGTATAGTCTTTTCTTCTCCATCTGAGATTTTGGGCAGTGGGCCAAGATGCACATAAAATCTTTCAACTACAAAGGAAAGTAAAAAAATATTCTTCACATACCTTCTCAAATTTCCCCCAGAGTAATGCTAAAATAACTTCAAGGAAAACACAACCTATAACTGTCACCCACCCACTCACAGATGTAATACTGGATAAAAAGTAATTACATCAGTGATAGATTTATCATGCTATGATTTAAAAGTTCGTTTACATGGGAATCAGCCATCAGTAAAAAAAAATACTAGAAACAGTGAAATAAAATTATTATGTGCTTAGCTTCTTTTTAGTATGTATCTTGACTGGAAATAGAGAAAGAGTACAGATGACAAAACAGAGATGCCAGGAGACTCTCAGAAACAATTTCCAAGTGTTATGTTTCTCATAAACAGGAAAAAGAATACCTTGTTATTTTGATTATTTTTAAACCTAAAAATATCAAAGATTTAGGCTTGACTTAAGGTCTTTAATTTAGTAGGAGTTCATAGTCAGCAATCATTTAGTCTGACTTCCCATTTAAGGCAGACTGAAATCTGATTATCTCATACTAAGTCCAAGAATTTGCAATTCAGTTAAAGCCTCACAATTTAAGCAATTGAAAATGTATGATGATACATAACTAATTCAATTGTTTAATTAGTTTTTTCTTTTAAACAGTTTACATAGCTTTTCCAGCTTCCTCTTGACGTGGTCAACTTTGGCCTTGTAAAATCCTTGTCTGATAAAAAGGGATCCAGATGCCCTTTTCTAGCAGAGCTGAGGTTTTTATTTTCTTGATTACCAATGCAAATTTATACATTTGTATAAATATAAAAATATTTAGCTCTATACAGCAGTGCATCTGAAAGCACATTATGAATGTATGTCTGTTTCAAATGTGGAAAAACAGATTAAAAAAAAAAAAAAAAGTGAAAAAACAGCTAATAGTGTTCATTTGTTGTTTCTGTCATTGTCTGTTATTTCTTACTTTTGTATAGCTTAGTTTCTTCTGTCATTTAGCTTGTTTCCATGCATGATGGGCAATTTTGAGACAATTTGTGAAATCACAGGCTACAAGCAACACCTATTCCATTCTTATTTCCATGCTGCTTTAGTTTTATCTTTGACAGAGATTCCACTATGTAAGCCATGCAATTCAGAGGCAAAAGGGGACAATCCAAAAGATAAATTTAGTATTCGTTCTGTTTTTAAAGAACTGTTTCTAGCTAATAAGAGGAACCGACTAGTAAATGGATGTTCTCTGATTCACAAACAAACTTGTCAAGGGAAGAAAAAGAAGCTCAAACCTTCACTTCTGAAAATGGGTGCTTTAAAGATTCTGCCAATATGGGCCTAGATGTGAAGTTTTGTTGCACTTTCAAAAGAGCAATTAAAATTCTTTGAAAACGCTCTGCTAACTGCCAGGATTCGTATTGATCTCAAGTTTGCATGACTGTTTTTGTCTCCACAAATTATGGAAAAGGATGTAGAACTGATCAGAAACTCCTGAATCCACCAATAGGCCAGAAACAATGTACTCAGAAACGGAAGACAGAACAGCACCTCTGCCTTTGGAAGGGATGTTATCATGATCATAGAAATTGGAAGAGGGTGATAAAGAAGGCAGAAATCTGTTGTATTCTGTTAAAATGAGATGTGACCTTTACAGGAAGTCATAAAATGCATCCTTTTAAAGGCTGGAAGTACTGGTGAAATGTTTGAAAGTTTAAAGTTACAAAATTCTTCTGTTCATTTCCCTTTGAAGAAGGGAACTATTTGGCAAAGGTAGGTGAAGTGCAGTCTGAAGTAATGTCTGGTTACACCATATAGCTGCATCTCATATAGCCCCGTATAACCCAGTGAGATTCTGTGAGGTTTTTGTTTAGCAATGTTAAGCAGTCTAATCTGTCTAAAAAGCCTGTGCTAGTATTTTTCATGTTGCCAACATTTCTAAAACAAGCCTAAGAGATGTGTCTTTGACATCAAGAATTAACTTAAACCCTGTAAACACTTTATCAGTAGAAAACATCTATCACCTTACAGTGAGTCACAATAAAAGAGGCTTTGTTTTACTTTAACTGTGCTCTTTTACAGAAAGTTTGTCTTTTCCAGAATAGCAACGAATTTACTATAGAAACAGTATAAGAACATTCTACCCTGAAACAAATACATGTAGATGCTTTTCCCTTACATGAATTAATGAGAGATTAATGCTGTCTGCACTTAACCTTTGTACCAGGCAGAGATTAAATTTGCCCAGTAAATATAGTAAATAAAAATTTCCCCCATGGAATTTTCTACATTGTTATGTAATATTAATAAGACAATATCTGTGAAGTCTTTTTAAAAGCATGCTTTTCTAGTAGACACCTAGTCTTCAGGGCTGACAGTCCTATGTAGTCTTGGTTGGCTTTCTTGACTCAGTCCTGAAAGTAAGATATTTGGAAAGATATGTCTTAGTTACTCCTACAGAACTTCATAATACAAATGTCTGAGAAAAAATAACACAATTTAATTTCCCTCTTTCTCCCTAGTTGGCCGCAGAAACTACATTGGTATCCTTGAACAATGTCTTGTTGCTGTTCTTTTGTGGTTTTGTTTTGTGTTTTGTTGTTTTGTTTTAATTCTATTTTTGGGTGACATCCATATGGATAGAAAGCAACAGACTGAACCCAGAGGTCTGAAATTCTGCATGTACTTGCAGACTGTAAAGCACACATTTCTTGGGTCCAAGGTTTAAAGCTAACAATTGTTTTAGTCCATTAAGACCCTTGCATATGATCATTATCATATTCAAGAAAACAGCAAGAACACTGAAACCTTGTTATGATTTTAGTAAGGAAAGTTTTATTGTTAGAATAGTGTGGCTTTGGGACAATGTCACTATTGCTACTAACTTTATTTTAAAGACAAATAATCTAGATTTTGACTCTCAAATCTTTTTTAATTTGAATTCCAAGTCAAATGCAAAGAACCAACATTACAGAAAAAAAAAAAAAAAAGTTGCATGTGAGAGTATTTGTAGTCAATGACTTAGTAAATCCTTTGTTCAAATTTTAGTGCCAAAAATGTTC